GGTCAGGGAGCTCAATTGTGTATTCGAATCAATGTGAAAGCGTCAGAGTATGTGAAGGTAAGAGAGCAGGTGGACAGCTGTTAAAAATTTCAGGAGCATTGGATTGAATTGTTCAGAAGAGGAGCTTACGGATTTTTAAAGGACATTTACCCGGAAGGTGGAATTGGCTGAAAGGTGTCTGTCAATGTAGCTGAAAATTGGACGATCAATTCATGGTTGTTTGCTCAAAGCCAACTCCCCCATATTTTTCGCGGGTCATCAATCTGGCAGTCATCATCTCATCGTTCGTTGTTCAGAGGAAGAATAAAAACTATCGGAAGTATTATCGTGATTTATTGTCATAACATTTATTCTTAGACCTTGTGTATAATAACCTTATTGTTGGTTACATACACAATCTCGAGTCGCCAATCTATGTTCTGGTTTTTCGCGTTGGTTAATACGGATTGTTTCTGAAAGTCTTCGAGGGACAGCGTGAGGTCCGGCGTAGTAAGAGCTGGACATTGACAGTTTCTGAGAGTTGGCCGACAGTGTGATTTCATAACCCGCTATAATATTAAAACGGAAGCAAAGTTACTGAGCACTATAGCGTATGATGATGAGAGACAGCATTTGGTTATGAACCGGGATTTTCACAGAAGGACATTCGTCACTCAGCAGGGGAAAAGGACCTTACGAATCATTAGGAAGGTATTGATCCTACTTGGCTGTTCTTCTTGTCCTTATGTATTCCTTAATCGTCGACCGTTGCGCCTTATAGGTCCTATAGTCACACATAAACATATTTGGAAAAGTTTACCTTACATTCGGCGTGGATTTGTTGATGTGCTTATTAAATACAAAACAATCTTCTCCATTGTTAGATACAGTCTGGAGAAAATAATTTATCGTAATGTTATTACTACTTTCCAGTAGGCCCCTATCAGAACAACATACGCTGGTGCTCGCTATTTTAGTATCCTCTTGTACAGACTTGACCACAAGAATACCAATACTTAAATCAGTATCTAGTCGAATTGACAGTCATGCAGCTTGTGACTTTCAGGTGCGCAACTAACCTTTGGTAACAAATTTATCGCTACGCGTTTTTCTCAGTTGACAAAATGTTCTGTCCTGAGCTCCTGTGACGGACTTAAAACTGCTTTTCAGTCTTAAATGGTATTGAAATTTTCACAAAGGCATCAGAAGAATTACTACACGAACAATGTTTAGGCCGCTAGAACGGGGTGGCTTTGTATTCACGGGTTTCGTCTACAGTACCACAGCGATTTGAAACTTCGTTTTTGATTGTTTCATTGAGTATGGCATATTATAAACTGTAGCCTGTGAACAAGCCATCCCAAATTTCTTCTAGGATGAGTTATCCGGAACAGTTTTGAGATGTTCCTACGAGAGGCTGGAGACTGGTTATAAGTTTGCAAACTTTCTCTGAGTTGTATCCATCGCAGGCTTTATTTGTACGATATCAGAGTGACATTTTGTGACATTTGGGACATTTGGATATGCAACCGATAGCTCCAACCTTTTGTGTTGTTGATAAGGCAGGTTAAGCTATAAAGCGGGAAGTTCTCACCTGTATTAAAATAGTGAGCATTATTTTCGAACCTACTAAATTTAGTTAGCTACCAAGTGTAACCGCCTTGTGAGGGGCCATTGTGCTACTAACCTGGCTTAGCTTACCAAAGGAATTATTTGTGTACATACAAACACGGGTTTCAGAATTTTGGCCCATGTTTATCAACGATTATACAACAAATAGAAATGAAGAAACATCAACAGAAACACAAGCAAGTGTATCATAATTAACGAACTAGCCAGTTTTAGGTGGGCAAATTAGAAGTACTGGTCTTTTGCTCAAATAATTATGTTCAGTCACTTTAGGTCGTCTGATCATTGCTTCACCACATTCACATGGCCCATATTCACAACATAAGAGAAAAGTTAGAATTCATGAGCCATTGAATCGGGTCCCAGTAGCTGAGTGGTATACGAGCTCACTTTGTAACCGGAAGGTCCTTGGTTCGAATCCCAGTGGGTGCGTACTACCTATGACTCCCAAACTAGGATGAAACAGCAGCTGTCCAGTACTCCCTGGTTTTCAATGGTTCTCTAACTGATATCAATCCGTGATCAACTCAACGAACCGAACTATAGAAAAACATAAGAGAATGAAATACGGATATCTCACAGTTATAAGGCATGCATATCAATCTCAACCAATATGAGTAGGTAAATAGGTTGCCGTGAAACAAACCTGTCTCCATTTCGTCTCCATATACTTGAATAGGTGAAGGTAAGGCGATCACTTGCCATTTGAAACAACTCAGGCAGTTGGTTTTATGCGGTTTTGTACTTCGAGGATTTCTATAGTCACGCTGTCTTATATTTGGCTGTTTCACAGCTGAAACATCTGTTCTAACGTTTGCTATACTATATGCTAGAATACGTCGCAGTGGCTTTAATCTTTGCAACACACAAAGAAATAATCAGAAGACAATAATGCCACATAAGTCCACAGTGGATTTGCGGAATACATAATGTTTGAAGGGACCTCAACAGTAACAACAGTTATCACAATACAAAAAAGCAATCGAGTTTATACACCGAAAGGAGCTAGGCTGCTTTGGACCATTGGATGCCTTCGTGCAATCTTCACATCGGCCGTCTTCGTTTCCAAAATGGTGCTCAATAAAATTCTCGCCACCATCCCTCTTTCTTGATGTCTCACGGGAGAGACAGTCACACACATCATCGAAAATAAAATGTCTGAAGGTCAAGTGTATTCATAAACCCTTTTAAGTTTTAGAATTAGTTGAAGTGTGGACTTAAACAGTGACCAGCGTCAAAAAGAAGATAAACTTGGCATTAATAAATGATTTACATTGTCAAGGAGCTTATCCCTAAGTTCCTATTGTTACGAAGACGCTCCGAACCGATAGATACTATGTACTTTCTTCGACTTCAACTCAAAAACGCCAGTATTGTAAGAAGGGAGTTATATTGTTTGGCAATTAAAGCGGAGAATAATAAAAGTCTATAAACAAACGTTTTATACGAAATTATTATGTACTTTTGTTCATTTTCGTTCTCCTTCGTCGAACTTGTACACGAGTTGCCCACCAATGGCTACCAGTTCCAAAAACAAACATTCAATGTTCACGTCCATTGACACACACCGATATCTAGCTTAAAAGTTCGCACCAAAAATTATTAACAGGAAAGAAACAGCGAGCACTCCGAATGTGGTACAGGACGACTTGCAACGGAAAATTAAAGTGACCTCATTGGATAGAATGGCTACAGTTTCATAGGCTTCCAATATTTCTAGCTGGGGTTTATCTGCAGGTGTTCAGTGCTTACAGTGCACAAAAATTAAAAATTGATTAAGGTCGTCATGACTAGAACAGCATTTCAGATAATGTATTCCACAGGTCTAGTGGTGAGAGACTTAGGAAAAGCGAGTGCAGCTTCAGCCTTTATGTATTTCCTAGATTTTTGACCTTCATAAAGTCTTTAGCTATAATACAACTTCAGACGTCAAGTAACTTTTTTGTTTCGGTAAGAGAGTTCAATTCAAACTGATAATAAAAGAAACTGGTGGCCGTCACTGGCGTTGCCTTAGGACTTCATTCTTCCACGTCAAATGCTTTAGAAACACCATCCAAGTAATTTTTCGCTCAACCAAAGACGGAGGGCAATGCATCGGTGGTGTAGCGGTTAGGACGCTTGCCGACCATGCACATGGTCAGAGGTTTGACCCCCTGCCGACACACACCTGATATCTATGGTCGGCCTGAAAAATTTGGGCTACCGATATTCATGCTGAAAATTCCATACTTGTACCAAAAATACAGTGTGGAATCAAGCTGTAAATCAAAAAAAATTATATGTGAAATCTTTTGTCAGTCTTTTATGCAGTGGCAGCGAAAACGATGAACATATAAATTGTACAGCGCAATTCACTACAAAATTATGTTATGGAAGGTTGCGTTAATTTGTGCATGTATCTCCCTTTAAGTTATCAGAGCGCATAAATCGCGCTGTCTAGCTATAATAAGAATCACTGTCAGAACAGTTTGTGACTACATTACTTTTGGAAGTCGGAGCTGTTGTTTTAAACCCTAGGACAGGACAGTTCTATGGACTGAAAGGTGAACTAATGAAAAATATTGTTGTCCTTCAGAGTAGATGATCTTTTCGGAAATGAGGATTGGTAAAATAAAAGTAAAAGACAGCATGTCATCAGGTTACCTGGGGCATGAAAGTTACGGAGATACAGCCTTTAAACTCTCCACCAACACCAACAAAACATGATTAGGTAACCCTCATAGCACTGGTTACGACCGTCCCACTCCTGGTCAAGACAAGCTCAAAACTCCTTAGGTAAGTACTGATAAACTACTTAGTTGTTAGTCTTAAAGGGGTGGAGGGTCATGAACACCGAGAATAGTTGCAGTTACTTATATTTCACCAGTTACTGTCTGAAAAGAAACAATGCAGTTACAGTTTTCATAGTTATCCTTTACCAAACTATTTCAAACAAATTCATAATACCATCTATAATTTTTTAATCTGGAGAATACACTACTGAACTACCTTATTAATGTAGCGAATTGTCAAATCACAATTAACTCTTTCGGGGTATGGCTTGTAGAAAGAGCTTCAGTCAGATCTGATAACGCAGCTTTTTATAGGCCTTCCTAAACAACATTCAATGAATCTGTTGAAATTTTAAATCATCCCTCAGCATGGAAAATATGTCCGGTCTTCTCAGACAGTATGTACCTGTCTTCGTCTCCCAACATAGAAAGCGTGCAGCCGAAAGAAAATCCTAATCATTCCTTACGTCCTTGTAATTTCTATATTCGGTCGGTTCACAGAATTCAGTTATAAACTACACACTGAAGATCACGATAGTAGGGCTACAATCAGGAAAGGGAAAGCTTCATTGGTGGGCGATTGACCTTGTCTTGTGGCCTTCCAAATAGCGCATCTTATGAATGGAAAACGTGATGGATAGTATTTCTTGTCATCGTATCCATTTTTATGAATATCAGCCATCTCCATTTTTGTGCCTTGCTAAAAACGAGTTTGGCTTAATTGCCGCTGGCAGAGAGGATGGCTCGGTTGATGTGTATGATGAAAACCGCGATTTTTTCATGGTTGGACATTTCCCATGCGGAGTGTGTTGTTCTGTAGAATCATTGGTATGGATACAATCCAGATTATTCTGCACAGGAGCACTAGGTCGTCTTGTAGAGCTTGATATGCGGACTTCAAATATAAAAGGTTCCTGTTTGTTGGTAGGAAGTCCTGCTGCTCGATGTATGGCTGTATTTGGAGATCAGATAATTGTAGGTGTTGTATTTTTTGGCTAATTTTTTATTTAGGTAGGCAACGACGAGGGGTTTATAACATTCTTTTCAGTTGAAGGTTCTGAACCAGCCCCAATTTTCACCATTCCAAAGCTTCCAGGTATGACCACACCGTTTAATAACATTTCAAGGTAAAATATTATCTCTTGCTTGCACTGGTAAAAAGAAAGCTATTTTGGCAACTGGGACAAGCACAGGTTCACTTTTGCTTATATCCATCCGAGATAAAGTTTCTAAACTGAGATTCACTCTAACGGAATCATCTAAGTCTTGTTTTATTTGGACTTTACTGTTTGCTCGGTAAGTTGACTGCTTTTGCGTATTCTTCCACTTGATTTAGGGGATTAGGGGGTTTGCACATATGATGTTTTTGACATATAGCTCTAATGTAGTTAATATTATATGTTCAGGCCGTCTTTGTGTATGCTCTAAGAAATAAGGTGTTGTTGTCAAGATTCAAATATCCTCCGAAAGGCTTTCAAGATGTCCTAGGATTTCGTGATGACACAATACTCCACCTGATTTGCCGATATAATTTGGAGCTCTAATTTGCGTATAAGCGGTATGTATTGGTTGGCGCACGTGAAATGTAATGGAAATATATATATATATATATATATATATATATATATATATATATATATATATATATATATATATATATATATATATATATATATGGTACCAATTGGTTTGTGCAAAACAGATGCTTGTGATAGCCCTCAAAAACTAGTCAAAGTGAATGAAACAGCACATTTTCTTATGGAAGACTGAATAATGACCGATATCCGTTGTCATATGTAGTTCTTTAGCCTTTTGGATCTCTGACACAATGTATGTGTAAAACTTGGACACTGTGGTAGTAAGTAATTCCATATTAGTTCTTTTATTAGATGTATCACATTGAAACAGTATTATTTACTGGATAACGATTCACAAAATGTATTGTTCATAATCATATCAATTGTAATCACACGACTTTGAAACTTGAGTCTTATAGTTTTCTTTGTCTTCTATTTTTCGTTGGGGTAGTAAAATTTTTCAGATATCTGGGACAGGTGTTGAATCATTCCTATTACATGTATTTGCAGTTGGTTCGATAAACAAAGCTTCTGTTATCAATCTCCCTCCATACACCCTGTGACATTAGATTTTAAAACTGTCATCCTATCCCATCCTATTGTATGGTTATAGCTGAACTATTCTCTAGATTTCCTATCTTACTTGGGTCAACCAATCCAAATTTTGCTAGGTTCTTATGTTCGGTTAGTCTGACTGCCCCTGTTCTACTAGTTTCACCTATGTATTTGACCTGACAATCATTCCAGCATGGTATTAGATAAACTAGATTTTGTTTTAAAGGCTCCACAGGATCCATTAACTGACTCTGTCATTGGAAAACAAAAACATGTGAAGTGATCCTTAAACCATCCTTAAACAAGTCACGTAAAAGATTGATTCGCAAAGTTGTTAGGTAACCATTCTTTTTATTACAATGATCAGTGGCTTAGCATACTTTCCTTTCCTTTAGTACTTCGACTTAGCCTCCACTTTAAGAACAGCTGAGAAATGTCACTCATCCATTCACTTCTGTTAATCAACAACTCTTGTCTACCCTTCTGACAGATTATTTTAATATTTTTCGGGTAATGGCAGCCTAACTCAAATTCAGCTTCAAATGCGTAATTATTTTTCTACTAGGAGTAGTTGCCAAGTAATGAATAATGAACTTGCAAGTTTATATAATAAACAGCAAGCCGCATTGCTTATTGTACTACTTTATTTATCCAAACCTCGATAACTGACTTTTTCATAACCTTATTTTAAGTCTGATGTCGGCATGGAAGGGTGTAGATCCAAATACTACTTTCTTGAAGATCTCAGTTTAGAATTACTGTGGAGGATCAACAGTCAGGAAGTCTGATCGACCAATTTAATATCGTCGAGTTTTACACGGTAGTTGGTGACTTCAGGGATCCAGCAAGTAAACTGAACCAAACAAAAATGATCTTAACGAAATAATTAATCGTCTGTCTCCTTTTGATGAAGACCTGGTATTATATGTGGTCTGCCTCCACAACAGTGGTAAAAGCTCAAATCATCTAGTGCTTGAATGATGTATTCAAACCAATGTTAGCTTCTGACTTCCTAAAGGCAAGCAAAACAATCTAAGTTGGATATGAATTTTTCAGATGGTGGTTACGATGAGTGGGGGTTGTGGGTATCGTGGTTAGGTGATGGCGTCAATTTTATTATAACTATGGAATTTTCACAATCAGTGGGAAATTCGGAGAACAGATACAATTTATGTAGCATCAGTCTTTCATCCAAATAGAAAATGTTGGTTCATTTAGTTTTCATGTTTTTTTCCCTGTAAGATTTTGTACAGACAAATGATAACCATTTCAGGTTACACCAGTTTTAGTAGGTTTCCTTTGTTTCATCAATATACATAATCTAATTTTCGCCATGTCTGTGAATTTTTAATTGTTTAATTTCATTTCCAGTGGTCTACTGTTTTCTGGGGATAGTAGAGGCGTAGTAAGTATTTGGGATATATCTGTTGGCGGTCAACTTTTCAGTTTTTCTTGCCACCATGCGGATGTTCTCACTTTGGCCTCCAACCCTGATGGCTCCATTATTTTTAGTGGTGGAGCAGATGCAATTATAAGGAGATTTGAATATACCATATCCGAAAATGGAGAAGGTATGTTACTTATTAGTAAATTTTTAATTGAAATGGATTGTTTGATAGTCACTAAATATGGCACTTCCTTAAGCTATTTTTGTGAATTTGTAAACTAAGAAAGTTCTATTTTGGTTGTATCATTTTCATTCTTAGGAGTCAGATATGAGTCGAACTTTTATGCGAAGGTTATTTATTTTATTTCATTTAAACGCAGAGAAAACTTGGTACAAATATGGCACCAAGAGAGATGCACCACACAATTTTATTTCATTTTTTGTGTGAGGGCTGAGATACTGCCCGGGCGCCCAGACCGAAGCAGGTGGTTTTATTAAGGGACCACCCCCGAGCCTTTGACTTGGAGTCTAATCCGCAAGGCAGTGGAGCAGCGTCAGGAGCTGCATTCCCATGGTTTCCGGTGACCCATATGGGTTCATACTCCATTTGATCCGATTTGATTCTGGAGCCCATGTACCCCATGGTAACTGCTTTTAGTTTAACCGCTATCCAAACAACCTTCCTGACATTGTAGGACCTGCAGGAAAATGAACTCCAGCCAGTTTAGCTTGTTGGGTCATTGCGGTATTCAAGCCCGACCACCACGAAAAGGTAGCAGTTGTCGGCCGGGATGCGAAGATTAGGGATTCTTCCACTGATGGTATTATAGTTTGAAAATGAATTGAATTCGCAACGTGGAACTTTGTAAAAAGTGCATCAGTCCAAGTTACTACAGTTCATGAAACACAAACGGTAGGGATAAAACATACTAATAAACTAAATTTGGAAGGAAAAATAACTATTAAGGAATAATAAGAATTAATTGTATCTAAATCACAAAAAGTGATTGCATTTGTCTCAATGAAAACGATTCCAAGCTATGTCACTAACAGTGTCCAATCGTTGGTTCTTAGCCTTTAAGACCCTGTCGGGTTGCTTACACCTCCCCATGTGTATCAAACCAACAATCAAAAACTTCATGAATTGCAACCAGCTCTCGATTTGACTGTCATTATTTCTTTCCAAAGCCAATCATGTATCAATTTATAATGTTCGGGCAAGATGATGGCATGTGTAACACGTGTTCTAACCATTTCAGTCTACAAAACACTGCAACCTCATGGGTTGGCTTTCCCTGCCTAACTAACACCGCGTCGGTCAGAAAATTGCCTAAACGGTGGGTGTTTCTTAACTTTATGCTGGACTCCGTCCTGTCCAAATGTTCGGCTCAGATCCATTTCCTAAAGGTATGTTGAGATGGGATAACCCCCCTACATATTTTAGTTTGGATTCTGAGGTGTAGGCTGCCTGGTTAATCTCATCAAGACTCTAAAAACCGATGGTTTGAGATTTTCGGTGACACGGCTCAAAGCCATCCTCAAGGGCTTAGGTGAAATCTCTGTTTTCAGTCACCCAGGTCCATCAATTCTTTATGATTCTCCATCTAATTGTTCTTTCTATCGTACATTTATGCTCATTACGGTTCTTTGGAATTTTCTTCTCTTCCCCTACCTTAGTGTGGTAAATGAGCGTGGCATCTTAAACTACTGCACTTCTGTGCAAAGTTCTCCAGGGGAACTCAGTCACTCTAAAACACTTCTTTAAAAATAACTTAAACTATATTTAAGCAGTGTTAACTACTTTTTCGCTATTGTACATCAGTGGAGTTAGTGAACAACCTTTTTTATACCCAACCTAACCTTAGTTGTTTGTCAGTTAGTTGTTTTCTGTCTTGGTCATGTTTTTTTTACCTATAGGTGACAGTTTGTTTGGCTTTGTCACCCTTAGAGGAAACTGAAATAATTCATTAGTAACTCTGTGTTGCCATTTGTTTACATATTTAATGGTTAGTGTATTGTTAATTTCTAGGTGACAAACACACTTCCATTTAATCATCTTAATCCAGCGTTCATTGGGCCAGCAGTCCACAGTTTATTTTTTATACATATTTGGTGTGCATAATTAATGCACAATCACCTTTATATCAGTTGATGACACATTAATATTTAGTAGTCTGCAGCTTCTACAGACCTCATAGAAGCGTTGATTTTGACAAGATATTGAACGTCGTTTTCTCAAGTTTTCATTTAGAGGGAGTGAATGGCGTATATACTGAAATTAAGTATTATAATGTGTTGTTTGTCATATATTATTGCGATACGATGATAAACGGTCTGTGGTGTATTCTATGCTTGATTTACCCGTGTTTTGTGGTTTGGGTTTGTTTTTTTACATTAGAAAATGGAAACAGTTATTCTTCACATGTTTATCCATTTCATATTAAAATCCAAATCAATAAAGTTGTTGTCTAGTAAAGTAAATTAACTGAATTTTCAACTTTTGGTGGGAATTTCTATTTCCAACTTAATAGATACATTTTTCATTAGGATCTTCTCCAGTATGTATTGCAAGGCCAGTGTTCTAGTTTAGTCTTAAACAGTCCTGAGCTTAGGAGACGTTTTAACTCGAATTTATGCTATTTGGAAGGTTGATTGTCAGGTCAAATCCTAGTACTTTTAATTTTGCATTTTTTTCTGTATACTTCCTTACTAATTACTTTTTGTTACAATTGTTTTTGTCCCTAGGTCAGTGGCAATGTAGTGGTTTGATAAGAGGATGTAGACGTGATATTCATGGAATAGCATTTATTCCCGGTCATCATCATGATCCCAGTACAGATGATTCTGTCTCAGATCATCGGTTTGAACCACATCGCCTCCTTGCTGTTGGACAAGATGCTCGTTTACAGGTGCTGTCATGTGAATCAGTTGAAACAGGTGTTGGAGGTTTTGCTCGAGCTGAAAAAACTTTAGCTATTAATGTTGGGAGACCACGTAAACGACAGAAAGGTCATATTGCCTATGCTGCTGCACTGCCATTTTGGCCTGCTTCTATTGCATCTGCTCGCCCATTACCTGCACGTTTTATAACTCTAGCTGAAGAGTCGACACATGGGGCTTTTGGTGATCAGATAGGTGCTTCCCGGCATTTATGTCTTTTGCACTATAGAGACAATTATGTTTAGTACGTCTCGGTCGATCAGATGAATCTCGTCGGAAGAATTCATTCCACAGATTTCATTCCCTTAGTTTGGGTCCCCTTCAAATTGTTGAAGTTCGTCCATCAAAAGGTATAGAATTTATTGAGTCCACCTTATCTTCGTGTGGATGTTTTATCGCCTATAGTGACTTTGAACGAACTCGGCTGCTCAATTTGGATGTGGTAAGTTTAAAATTGCTTAAATTTAGAGTTATGATACTTGTTTGGACACTGGAAAACTGTAGGAACATACATAAATTACATCTTAGATGTTTAGAAGTGTTGAGAATTTCTGTAATTTTGACTTAATTAGACAGGATATTTAAGAAAGAGCAAACGTTCTGTGTTCTCTAAAATCCTCTCAAGTGCTACTACAGAACCTACTTCGTCGTTTGGCGTAACAGATTTTGACAGGTGATTTTCCCCTTTTCACGACAGGTTGGTGAATTTCTCAATGTAGTCTTAACATTCTGAATCATCATCCGAGATATCATTATCAACGGATAAGATCTTTCACATTGATTAACTTATCAAATCTAAGATAATGATTATTAGAACCCAGCTACGTCACGCTCATCTAAATAGGAGACAAGAACAAAGTTACTGAAATTTATTCTAGGCAATACTCAAAATAAAATTATGGTCCTTCTCAGTGGGGGTTAACAGCGTAATGCACAAAAAGATTGAAGAGGTTAGAGAATGATGCAACTAGTATAGGCAGGTATAAGATATTCAATACCGTCCATGAAGTTATTATAGATCCACTCTCTTCCAAGATTCGACTCGTACTTAACTATGAATAATCAATGGAAATCGTACCACAAACTCTCATCATATTGATGGTTGTCAGTTGGATGAAACATAACTATCTCACTGCTTTTTCCCAAACTTTCCAATGGTATGTTGCGGATTTTCACTCGTATCGTCATCCTCGCTAAATTTTCTCCCTCGCTAATTGCATGTTAACAAAACTTTCTATCTTTTGTCCCACAAACGGTCAACTAATACAATTTTCTTGGTGGATAGTCGCATTCAACTAAGTGGAGGGTTAAGTAACGGAGATATTTATACAATGAAGCTTGGAATGATAAAAGTCTTCTGTCAATCAGATTCCTACTGAGCTTATCGTAGATTTCATTCGTATCGTCTTAACGTAGAAGTAAAATGTATATACCTTTTGAACTAAGTAGTTTTGAAAACTCAGTTTAATGGAACTATATGAGGTTTTACCAACTTTTGTGGTGTTTTTGGAAACTAGGGGCTGTACTGCTAAAACAATTATTTCTATTCTTTTACTTCCTAATTGAAATATACGGCTTCAAGCCAGAGCTTCGAGGTTTTGGTAGCAGTGGTGTTTATTTTTACAGAATAAGGTCGCTAGCCTTATGCTCAACTTTCCCTCTTTACCAGTCTTATTACTGGTTTAACGAGGTAAAGGAGTGCGTCGACTGGGGATCGAACCCAGGAATACATGCGTAATTGGCGACCGTTCTACCTCTGTGTCACCGACGCACAACTACTGAAAATCACATAGGTTAATATAACTTGATTGCCTCTGACATTTTAAATGACATGATGGATTTGAATTTGAGTAGAAAATGAATTTCATTGAGGTTGCTACTATCGCCAACAAGTAAGGAATGCACATCTGGTTCATCTTGTCACCCGGTTTCAACTAACATTAATAAATGAAGAATAAACAACGCATACTTTTTATTCGTAACTTGTTACTGATAATAATAGTTGTTTTATTTTATGACTATGTTTTATTTAAAATATTTCTAAATCTATGTTGTTCCTATCATCACCTCAAAATCATGTAGGCATATAAAAACAAGCGCGGCAAGTTATGTATATCCAAATCGAAAGTTAAACCAGTTGAGTGGCAGACTAGTGTACAGAATTCAACTATTGTCGGTAATAAACTTCGTGGTAAACGAATGCGTTTAGATAGCTATGGCAAATCATCGTCAAACACTTCATCTTCAGAGACTGAAACAGATACAGATGAAGTTTTAAATGATGATGATATCTTGAGTTACTTCACCATGGATAAGTCATTTCATTCGTCTACTGGAAAGGAACAAATTGTACTTTCATCTGCTGATGATTCATGTGACTTTTCCTCTTCAGAGCAAAACAAAGCTGTTGGTATATCTATCCCGCCTTCCTGTTCGATGACATTTACTCCGAATTCAGAGTTTTTATTACTAGTTACTCAAAAAAGTGGAAAATTCATGTGTATTTCTGTAGGTGATGGCAGTATCCTATGGGAGCGTAATGTTGATCAAGGTATGTATACCAGATTTAATGTATCATTGATTTAATGCAATTATTACTTTTATGCCCAGAGTAAAAAGACTGTCTTGTTGTAAGTTTTTTTGCTCTTAAAACAATGCTTGCCTTAGTATGTAATACAATGGTAAATATTAGCAGTCTGCATTTCTAATATTCTAATAATCTTGCTACTGTTCGAGCCGGCTCTCTGCAGAAATTGGATTTTTTAATGTTCATCTTGGTGTCATATTCAACTGTCTAACTGAAAAAATAAATCTATATAGCACCTGTCTCAAAATGTATGATTCAGTCCTTTTTTCCTAATGTTTCTATCGTTATTGGTTTGAGTTCCTTAACCTTCGAACATTGTATTGATTAATGATAACTCCTTTCGGGTTACTGGTGTGTTGTACTGAATACAGATCACGACTAATCGCTTTTCTTCAGCATTTAAATTGATCTTCGAAATATTTCCAAGATGGGTTGATTTTTCTTGCCTTCTGTAAAAGGATACACTTCTTATGGTGACCTTTGAGCTGTACACTTAGACTGGTTTAAGTTTCTAATAGTTTCTCTCCTTTTACCGTTTTCACAGTAGAATATTCAAATTATAGAATTTGTGGGGAATCCGGATTGATTTCAATTGTTAAATTTTCCTCACGAACCATCAACTGTCCAGTGCTCTATGGTCTTCCAACTGATGTTGGTTCGTCACGAGAATCTAACAGTTTTGAAATCAATCCGAATTCCCTAAAAACTCGCAGTTTGAGTATCAATCGCCAATTCACTAATGGCTACTGAATGGATTTTCTTAAGCTGCAATGGAAGTTTGTAACCAGTGGGATCCATCATTTCAAGATGAAGTAGATGTTCATCGAAGGCGTTGGTGAAGGAAGCGCTTTATCACGAGTTGATAAAGTTGAAATTTCGAGGTCCTTAAATTCCAGTCGGAGTGACTGAATGGACAGCGAGCTTACTGTCGTAACCTGAAGGTCCCGGGTTCGATATCTGCTGGTGTCTTGATGCACACTGACGAAGAGTCCTGGATAGGGGGAAACAGCTGTCCAGTGCTCCCTGCTTTTCATTCATCTCTCCAAATGATGTTGTTTCGTGACGAAAATCCAACAATAGAAGAATATCCGTTGGATTCGTTTTCAGATGGTCATTTCAATAATTTTTCTCCTTATTTCTTTGTGTTCGACAATCAGCATTGCTGGGAAGCATCGAAAACCTTTTTGCATATGAGCTGTTATTTTCTTGACACGGGAGTTGAAGTTAACAGCTTTTTACTGTTGTCCTTATCCTTAATCTACAGAAGCTACCTAGATTTGCCCTTAATGATTACATGTTTGCCTGAATGCTGTACTTCAAAGAATTCCTATGCCTACTTTTAATTAGCATATTTTCTGGTTTCAAAATTTTCCCTACTAAAGTCGCTGTCAGTTTTGATGCTGGAATGCATGACTTTATATGATGGCATTTCCCTGCCGTGTCTCCATGTGTTATGTAATGGGGTGGTCATATTGTCAGTCTTTGGTAGTCTCCTAGCAGTTTACCTAACGTTCCTTATTTAATCTTTCTGTAGGCATTGATTGAGCTGAAAAACATGTTTCCAATTGTTTTTGTTTATTAAAATACACTTATCCTTTTGCCATTATTGTTGTATGTTCATATTTTTATAGGTTGCCTTTTGATATAACTTCATCTATTGAAGTTGGATGTTAAGTTACTAAAAGTTCGAGCGGTATTTAGTAAACATGCAATTCGGAGAGTGACTCCACTAAAGCACTATGTCAAAGTGAACCTTCTCCGTGTCTCTGTTGTTCATGTGACCATTGTTATGAAATTCCTCTCAATTGCTGTTTTAGTATAGAATCTGACTTGAATGAGTTAATTCCTGTTAGAATTATGTTTATTGTTATGATGCTAGATCTTTTGTCACGAGGTCACTGCTTAACTACTGACCAGTGCCCACTGAACTGGTAAAGCAGAACACGCGAGAATCAGCGGTAAAACCAGGTTCATTTATTATGACAAAAGTGACTGTATTTATACAGAAAATAAGGTAGACTGGAAATCAACCAATCCGGTTGAGAGTTGGAATTGTGCAAGCGTCCAATCAGAAGCAGGAACAATTGCATGTCAACGACTTGTTAATAACGCGATAATAACTTGACTGAGACATGATAATGACTGATAATTGCATGTGTTTTGCCTCTTCCTAACATTTATATTTTCCAGCTTTCTCGTCTATCGGTACTATTACACCTAGAACTGCCAAGTTCTTGTGACTAATAGCTGATGCGAATTTTTACATCTCTTAATGTATGGATTAGATTTTAAGGCTATTTTATTCCGTATTTTAATGATGATTGGATTATCTTCCATACATTAGATCTATAATTATCGGCCAAGAGTGAGTAGACTTCAGTCTTCCTCTATAAATGCCTTTATATAACCACTCATTCATAGTTTCTACTAGGAAGTCCTACTCACTGCCTTCACGCGGCGGAGATGTTCCTAACTAAAATGAATGCCTGGCGCTTACATATCTACCTAGGGGAGCTGGAAGATCTTAACTCCAAGACTTATAATGCACATGGGTTCCAGAATCTGAACAGATCAACTGGCGTTTGGGTCACCGGAAACCATGGGGACAGAGCTCTTGACTCTACAATACTACCTTATGGAGCAGATTTCAAGACAAAGGCTTGCGGGGGGTGGCCCCTTAAAACAACCACCTGCTTTGGTTTGGGCATTCAGACAGTGTCTCAGCCGTCTCACAAACTACGAGACAACAATTTGTGTTGCGCATCTTTTGGTATCCACAATATATGTCAAGTTTTTCTTTTAATAAATAAAAAATTAATGATTGGTGTTGTTGCACTAGTGCTTTGAAGTTTAGTGTTCCAGAGGCGTTAATTTTGTATGCATAGACAGTTATTTCTGGAGCTGTATCCAGATAGAAATGATATGGTGATCAATTCCATTAAATCTATAGTCTTTTTCGAAGCTTTCTGCGTGTATGCCAAGATCGCCTAGCATTTTTGTAGCATAACTTGTGTGTTTTCTATCTTCCATTTCTCCCCTATGAAGGCGATTTGCTTTGCGAGTAATATTTTCTTACGCATATCCGTCTAGTAGCAAAAAGAAATATTTATTTATTTGCCACTTTAGATAATTCAACTGTTCGAGCTCATATAATTTCAATTTCAAAATTTGCCATGGATCTTGGTTACTTAGTAGCACTTGGTTGCTCTGATGGACGTGTACGCTTATACGACTCGTTAACTGGCTCTGTGATATTCATTTGTTCATGTGTTGATTCTGTTTCTGGACATTCACCTTTACCAGTGTCTATTGTATTTCCATCCATTAATGAACAACAGTCAGTAACTGAGAATCAGGTGTCTAGGATGAAGTTTTCTGTTTTGTATACAAACAGTCAATTAAGAGAATGGACTATAACTATTAAACAGACTGATAATTCAACAGAATCAGCTGATTCTGACCACTCATCAGTTCCTCCTGCATTATCAACAAGACATATTAATGTTGAACTAAATAAGTGGCTGGTTAAACTCTGGCGTACTATGGGCAATGAAATTTCACGCAATTTAGGTGTATTTCATAGTGTGGATTATATTGGATCGAACAAGTGGATGTTGGCCTCAGATCGTTATTTAATTATTCTAGTTCCTCACAAAGTAAGTGATTATTTCTGATGACTGAGCAGTAACTTTTTCAATTTAAAATTTTGATATATATCAGTCGTGTCTATTGAAATTTCGGTATTTTGTCAGTTCATTTTGGTGGGTGGTGATAAGCAGTAGGATTCAAGATGTGCACTTCGTCCCGTTGGGGACTTATCATCTGGATGTAGCTCTATTCTCCAGTGAGTGGTTGCGTTCTGAGTGAAACTCGAACTGAGTACCCATCGTTTCAAATGCCAATTCGTTATCCACCGGACCTCCTGGACCATTAAAACCACCTTTTGTGCAAAATACATCGTCAAGGCGTCTACACTAGGAGTCGGCACTTCAACAAAAACTGGAATATCTTGATCCACTCAACCAACGGTAGAATCAAAATTAACCTAAATAAATAATAATTGCTCATTTTGTCGAAATTTACCAACTAAAAGGCTGTTTAAGATGGCTATCGGTAATTTTGAAATAATAGAAAAGATTTGTAACTCAGGTGGATGATTTGCAATTAATAGTGTTCTCTGAGCTCAGAGAACACTATTAATTGCATGTCAGTAATTTTTTCTCAAACTTAGCTAGTTTTAGTCTATCTTAAGTATTTTTCATTACTTTTACAAGGGCAGCTCCCAGTTTTTACGTATTTAATTTGTATTGAACAAAACAGAACATATATATATATATATATATATATAAGCAGGACACTTAGAAAGCTATTTTAAAGATCAGCTTCCTTCTATCGGTTATTCGAACTGCATATTAAAACCAAAAACGGTGTTTAGGCCGTTTGTGAGTAGTTATTTCGGTGAAACATTACTGTTTATTTCATAATTTCCTTCTTATGTATTTTACATTTATGTTTAACTTCTGCAAATCCTGATCTTTTAGAATTTTAAACCTGGTATGATTAGTGAGATTCTTTCAAAAAAGCGAACTCCAGACCAAGATTACTGCATGTATATTTCAGCAAGTATAAAGGTAAGTGTACCAGTCATGCTTTAGACTAACATTAATAAGCTTAATAAAGTTGAGTTTTTTTATAATACTATATTTTGTGTTTTGTATAAACGTATTTTAAGTAAAATTCATCGCGAGTTATAGAGTGTATTCTCTGTCAACGTTTCTAAGGCCTTTATAATTTCCTAATAACGCCCATTAGGTTAGGCTACTAGGTTTCTTCGTTGTAAGATCACGCAGAAGCTCCAATGTTTCTTTTTTTTTCAGTAAGAGACTTAAAGTATTCATAATTGAATAATAATTGATTGTCACTTCAAGTTCCTATATGTCAGTAGGATTACAGTCTCTACATTTAGGAGTGGCAGTCAGAAAAGATCAATCATGAGATTTGTACATCCTGACGTATCTTGTGATAGTCCGTAGCCGGTAGTGGGATCTTCAATGTTATCCATCTCCTGTTGTTATATAATGTCTATGATGAGTATGCTGGAAAAAAGTCGTTAACAGTGTCTCAAGTTCACCTATGCTTTATGACTGCTATGTGCCCGGACATACACACACACGATACACTGCAACGACAGAAGACAAGGGCCGGGCAACAGGTCGTTTATTGAGAAAATCAAGAGATATTTACAGATTTTTATGCACGTTATTATTAGCGTTATTGTTAACAGAGAAGCAAAGTTTTCTGATTGGTAGTTTTGTTGCCGAAAATTATTCTGTACTGCTTGTGACCGTTTCTTAGAAAGTTAAGTCATATATCTGCGAATCGTATCTGAACACATTAAGTCTGCTGTGATTGGTTGGTGAGTACCTCAAAGTTCAGCTTTGTTATCGTTTTTTCTCATTACCCCCATTCGGGACGTAAACACTGACGTAAACTGTTGTTTATAATTTTGGCTTGTAGACAGCTCTCACCACAACACTACTTCTGTTCTTTGTGGTATTTCAAATTGTTCAACTTGAGTTAATACACCTCTGTCCGCGCTTTTTAGTTTGTTTTTTTATTCATTTGCTTATTATTTCTGTTTCTGGTTACCAGCGATCTCCACACAGTTTTGTAGGTTTGTTAACAGAATGTGCAGTAAACTGCTGTTGATTCATAATTCTGCGGCTCAACACATTCTATTTATTAATCGAAAGTATTTGAATTAATTAACTAATAGCCTGTTTCTAAGTAAGATTGTGGGTGTCAACACTACTTTGATCCTTGGTCTGCTAGCGAGGCTATGCAACGTTTTGTAATTCCTTTCTGAATGGGATAACTGTATATATTTGAATAAGGCATTTAGAAGACAAATTTCGTGAGATGATATCATTTTGTAGTTTCTTTACAACTTCTTTACCACTAACATGGTTAACAATAATAAAATAAAGATCATGACAATTACTCAGTTAAATAAAAGGCCTACAAAATTTGGCTACCGATATCCATGCTGAAAATTCCATACTTGTACCAAAAATACAGTGTGAAATCAAGCTGTAATCAAAAATAATAATAAATAAAATAAAATAATAAAAAAGTACATACTAATGACCAATCATATTTAAATAGGTCATGTTGTCCATGGTAGGCGAAGATTGAAGTGTATTGTTTTTTGTACACACAGTTTAGTCTGTATGTGATTAATTCAAAGTGCTTCCATCACCTTCAATAACCTTGAATTAGAGTTATGTGAAATGATTGTGAAACAGTCATTAATATTGATTTTGTGACCAGACATTAATAAGTGTTTTGCAATGGATGATGCTGGATTTCTATTCAGATTAATCGCATTGGGATTTTCTATATGATTTAGTAGCCATTTTGGAACATGTTCTTTTTGATGACATTGAAACATTCTGTTGGTTCTGCCTATATAGGTGTCACCGCAGCTGCAGGTGAACTTGTAGATACAGTTTTAAGTAGAGTCCACAGAATTTCGTCCTTTAATCGTAGGTATAGGGATCGAAAATGTTTGGCAAGTGAGAAAAAGAGATGCGGCGTAGAATGTGCGTATGTTGGCTGACCGAAGTCTTTGAGTAATCTGGTCGCCCTTGAATGGTAGATTAATAAAGATAGCTTTCTTTGGCACAGAAGCTGTCTTTCCGATGTGTGATCTTTCTTTACTGTGACAAGTGATAAAGTTTTCCGGATAACCACTAGCTAATAAAAGTGAATGTTTATGTCGAGGCTCATCCATCAATGTGTCACTTGTGCATATTCTGCGGGTCCTTGAAAACAAACATTTCACTAGGGAACGTTTATACTGGATAGGAACAAAACTGGTGAAATGAAGATATTGTCCACTCCATGTGTGTTTGCGGAAAATAGATCGCTGAATCTTTCCATTATCTCTCCTGGTCATTGTAATATCCAGGAAACAGAGTTTGTTATTCGATTCTAGTTCGGAAGTCACTCGGATATTTGAATGAATATGATTAAATAGGGTGATAAAGTTTTCAATAGATTTACTATTATTACCAATAATGAGAGTATCATCTACATAACGTTTATATATATATATATATATATATATATATTATATATATATATGTATATATTCACGTCGAAATTTGAGAAACAAATGCAAGGTATGCTTGGAGAATTTATGCTATATAAACGTCCTCCCATTGTTGTAGATGTTTATTTTGAATTAGTTTGTCCTTAAAGCTCATTTTTGTATCAGAAATTGAAATATTCACCTCCGGATGAAAGTGAATTTTATTCATCAGCCTACTGAGTGTACACAGTATATATTGTTTATGCTTCAATGAAACTTAAACCATCTCGGATCACATCTTATGACATTTTAACTTCACTCTACATGTTTGACTTTTTTTCATCCCACTGCATTCCGAGCGGAACACATGGGGTTTAAAGCTTAAGCCTGGATGTTTCAGTAGTGGTGATGGTTTTTACGGATTGCTAACCTCATATCCAACTTCCCATCTTTATCTGGCTGACTATTGACTAAGGGTGGTAAGGAAGTGCATTGGCTGGGAATCTAACTACGTGCATGGTTGGCGAGCATCCTACTGCTTGGTCACCTATGGGCTTACTTGATTAGTGTTAACATAAACATCATATCATGATGTGTGTGGCTTACAACTTTTTAGGTGAAGTTGTGATTCCGCATAGTTACTTATTTATCATATTTGACTTTTCTCAGGAGATTTTATCTCATTGCTGATGCTTAGAAGGAGGCGTTATCTTTTTATCCATACTCCTGTTATTATGTTCTAACATTGTTTGTTTTATTTTCTAGAGTATCATTCAAGCTAAAGTTCTATCGGAGTCAGAGCTCGCAGTTATTTCTATTCACTCTGGAAACATAGCTCTCCAATTGGCGTCACCATTATTAAGAAAAGTTTTTGGAGCCTAAGACGTACATTTATGTATATATTCTTAATATATATTTTTGATGATCAGCTATGTCTTGTTTTCTTTCTTTAACTAAACTGTTAAATGTACTCCTGTGTAGTTTTTTAAAGATTTATTATATATATAGATGTGTTTCTCCAGCATTTTCTAGTATCTGATACTGTCACGGACATCCTACAGCCGTAGCATTTGTTCGTAATATAGATTTTTGGAGATGGGTTGCGTATTTTACTTATGAGTTTATAGGATTCAATATCAATTATCTGTTGTAGTGGAAATCAGGAAATTCATTCATAAATAAAGTTCTAGGGGAGAAAAGTTGCTTCAATTCTTTGGCACATGCTGTTCGAACTTACCTATCAAAAAATAACTTGACATGGTTGTATTGAAATGTACAAAAAAGGTTATACTCAAAATATCACTATTTAGCAAGTATGATTATACTTGATGTCAATAGACTTCACTCCTAGTGTTAATCACAAAGATAACTAACTTGGAAATCTATTAATTAAATCCCACATAGTTCCTTTTAACTATGGTTAACAACTTACACCTTCATGTAAATGCATGGTTTTACTTATGTGGTTGAACGCAGTCTAGGATTATTCTTCTTTATTTCCCAATGAATTTTCTCTCAAAGTGTGTAACATAACTCATTGCACACGTCAATAATATTCCGAATTATTTGTTTTAAAAGGTTATTGTCTTGTATTCATTGATGTTTTGGTGTCTTAGATATGCGTGGAGTTTTAAGATAGGTCATCTGTGTTTTAATTGTAGCCAAGCTGCATGTGTTTTCTGAGCATTAACTGTGAGAAATGAGAAAATTTGTAGGCGAATAAAATCGGATGAGTCCTGCAGTCTCGTCAGCTTGTAAGTCACACAACAATTTTGAATTAAAGGTTACAGCTGATGATAGTTCACTTACATCGGCTAAGACCTACGAAACTTTCATTGGATTGTTTGCTCTAAATTTTCCTGCACATTATACCATACTAGAAAGGTCGTTGGATAGTGGTCGGACTAAAATTAGTTAACCACAGCGTAGGTCACCCATATTGTGTTAGGAGCATATGGGCGAAAATGTATGCTGCTGATGCATAGGGATGCAATGAGGCTAAAGCATTTCCCTCAGATGACCAGTTTTGCTATATTTCTGTCATCTGGAGTGGCGCTTAAGAAAGACCAACCACGAAAATTGTACATCCCCACTCTCTGTGATAGTCCGTAGCCGGTGGTGGATTCTTCAAACACGTGTGTGAATGGCTTCAAACAATTGTCCTATAGGCTCTGTAATCACGCGGCATTAATGCTCCTGTATCCCAGGAAGAAATCAGCCTCCATGATATGGGCAACCGGAAAGCAGTGACCACCTACAAATTACTTAAGGCACACAGGGGTTTCATTATAATAGAGGCTTTTTGTATTTCCCAATGAATGAAAAAACAAAACGAGATTGTTTTTACTGACGTTTCGCTATTTAATGCTAATAGCTTTCTCAAAGTATTATGCACACAGGGGTTTGTTAGTCACCGGCCAGCACCTTTCTGCTGACTTTCTACCGTCGATACTGTGGGACCAGTGTTAACTGCCAGAGCCGTAAAGACAGACTGTCAACTCGATTTTGGTGGTTTCGACGTCCGGATCCCCTGCCATATCGGAAAACAGACCTTACTTACCAGAACTCTTGTGACAACAGAAGGCAAGAGTCAGGCAACAGGTAGTTTATTAAGGAAATCAACACGTATTCATATATATTTCCTGTAGATTATTATAGCTTATTCAAGCAAACAAACGCAGTCTTCTGATCGGTTGTTTCTCACAGAAAGTTGACCTTGCATCTCTTTGTGAGTGTTTCCTGAATGTCAGGTCATCTATATGTTAACTATATCTGCGTACGCAAAGTCTGCTGTGATTTCGTCATATTTGTCTTAATGGAAATGATTCCAATTGCATTAACGACTTGAGGATTGACTTATTACCAGGGTACAGTCTTGTTGGCTTAGAATTTGTGAGTAATATTACCCACCTATGTTAAGACGCTGCTAAAATGAAAAGTTTCTTATCACCTTCGGCAGAAATCTTCGAATGTTCACCATGCGGTTCGTTTATGTCGAATGTGAGATTTTGCTGCAGGACCACTGGTTTAAATAGAGTTAATTGGGTGGTAGAATGTGTTGACCACCTCCCTTGCCTGGGAAGCTGAATCAGCCCATATGTTCTAGTTCGCGACGAAGTCTTGGCGTGGATACAAAAGGCTGGTGATTGCTAGCTGACATCATCTCATAAGTAGCATATACTGAGCAGTAGCCCGCTCCACCCTCCTTTATGGCTGCAACAAATGGCCATTGAAAGTGGAGGCTAGTTCTCTTTCATTGCGGAGGCTTGAGTTCTATCTTCTATAGTAAGTGTCATGATTTGGTGGGTATTAATGTTTTTTGATGTGGAGTATTAGGTGAGGACGAAAATCAACCGGTGGGGCTTAGAAGATGCAGCAGTCGAGGTAGCTGAGACATGCATTACGCATTCGAATTCGTTGCATTCCACATTCACTGGAGTTGGCCGACACAGGATTGGATTGAAAAGAATTGAAGATGTCCATATCAAAACATGACACCCACCCATTGGGTTTTTGACGGTTTAGCTGAGTCTCATAGGGGGGAATAAACTACCTGGCTGAGGCTCACGAAATGTCAAGAATCAATAACTGGAGGCTTTTTGTGACAGAGCTCAGACGCGTCCTCTTTCGCCCAATTTAATTTCCCCTTTGTGACCTCCTAGACTTACTAAGTGCTCACTGTTGTCTGCGTAATTGGTCTTCTTTTTCATGTACATTTCTGTTATAATTCCCTTTCTTCCTTTACTTACCCTCACATTTTTGTTTTCATGAAGTGCTTCAACTTGAATTGACAAATGTTTTTGGAATGTCCACACTAAGACAGTCAGTCGGTGTTACTTTGGCTACACAAAGCTTAACTTAGTTATCGGCGGAGTTTAAACATCTCAAAATTCACAATTGCCGGCAGTCACTTTCGCTTAGAAATAAACTAAGGAAGCATAACAAAAATTGTTCACTGAGATAGCATTTTAAATAAGATATGTAAATAGCTAAAGTTTTCAGTGTATTCACTTTGTCTGTTTATGTGTGGATTCGTGAGAAGTATGTGTTAATAAGTTTGATTTGACGGAAGGTTGATAACCGCAGTTCAAAAATTACTTTCTACCCACTAAACAAAGAAGTCGAAACTTGTTTCAACTCAAGCTCTTACTCTACAAAATAAATAATTCATATATATAGCGCCATAGTTTTACTATTCTACCCATTCTCTGCTGCGCTTTTGGAAAAATACTTTGCCCTATTACTTTGGATTTTTCAGGCCGTAATTGTGTGCGCACCTGGCCCAGCGAATGAATGAATTCATTTTGTTCGATACTGAACACTTATGACGACTGAAGACAAAAGATTTAGTAACGGTCCATTATTAGGGAAAAATAAATCTTATTTATACATTCGTAGCCCCACAGTTTGCTTAGGTCGAAGTATAATAAATTATTGATTGATTGGCGATTGGCCGAATGTAAGTTAAGTTGTCCAGTAAGGTTAATTGGGCGAAGTTAAACTTTCGACACCACTAACTACCAATCAGCGAATTATCCAATGAGATTCACGAACGATGTCGAATTATCCAATGAGGTTCACGAACGCAGTTCAATGTTGTATAGCGCTTGATTCATTTCTAATGCGTGACTTTACAAGGCTATTGTTGCAATTCGAGGAGGTTAGTGTTTTCCATTATTTCCTAGATTTGAGTTGCTCCGGAAAGAACGAATTTGATTGTGTGGTGGTATCATGACTTTAAAAAGCTATACCAAATCAACTGATGGGTTTGTTCATCGTTGTGCTATATGTTTGAAGACTACTAACACTAGAGAGGGTATGCTGATAATTTTATTATTTCGTAGGAGCTTTTTTCGCCAGGTCGCTTCTCTCCCTAAGGATAGCAGATAAAAAGCAACTACTCTTATACCTATTGTTACCAGAATTGCTAAGGGGGGGTCAAGTATACGCACGGAAAGGCTACAGTTCGCTGTCATCTCTGGGATATATTCATCATAGAGACAACCATTCAAGTGATTTTGTGGATCCCGTTACGAGGACACATACAAATTCTAATGAAGGATTTTGGGGCAGGTTGGAAAATAGGATAAGGGCTACAAATGGATCTCAAAAGGATCTCATTTATAGTTATTTGGATGAATATATGTACAGGATATGGTGTAACTTCTCCATTGACAGTCCCATGCTAAACTGGGAGATTTTTCTCTCACATGTTCGAGAAAGATATCCCATGTAACCTTTTCTATTATCTATTTTATGCTTTTTTTCTACAAATATACATTTCCATTCATCATATATGCCTCTTTAATGTGATTGGTCCGTTCGAGGTCGTTTGCTGATTGGTTGTTAGTGGTGTTGAAAGTTTAACTTTGCCGTTAATTGATATCTACAAAGTTAACTCTGCAACTGTTGACTTAAATTGTTGATTTTAGCATTGTTTGCTTCCTACCAGCCTGCGTCACGTTACACAACATCTGAACTTATAGCTGTCTCCTTGTATCACTTCGTGGAATACTAGAAGAGATTTCATTAGGACGTATCATTTTACAGTGCAGCAAGATTGTCGTGAAGGCAGTGGCAAAAAATAACTGGCACACCCTTCCTGCTACCGATTTCCGGCAAACATTTTACATTAGTATTTCTTACGACAACACCTTTATGAACTTCGAGTTTCGTGTGGTTTGAAAATATAAAAATGCTGAAAATAGTGAGAACGGAAAGAGAGTGGAGGAGGTTTATTCTGCATAGGAACGAAAACTCAGTCAAGTTGAAGCACCAACGCAATACAAGCTTGATCACTTTGTTAATAGCGACCAGTCTAGTTAAGGGAATCCACAATCAGAATCGACAGTGTAGGTCAGTGTTTGATGAAGTGGTGAGTG